CTCACCCAGGAAATCCGAGATATTTCATAGAGGGAGTGATGTTTAAGAGGGAGCTTTGAAAATTAATATTGCTGCTGCTGCTGCTGACAGTGATGATGAGGACAGCTAATATGTACTGAGCACCTACTACGTGCCAAACACTAGGCTGAGCACTTTATTTGTATTATCTCATTTAATGCTCACAACATGCCTTGGACATAGGTATTATTGTCTCCATTTTACAGATGAGAAAAGATTAAACCACTTGGTCAAGGTCACTTGGTAAGTAGTGAAGCTAGGATTTGAACTGGCAGAGAGGAGGTGAAGAGGATCTCAGGCTGTAAAAACAGCATGAACAAATGCCCAGTGGTTTTCGAATAGAATATGTGTTGGGGTATAGCTGAAGCAGAGCCACATGTGAGGGATGGGGAAGGAATGGCAAGGCAGGCAGGTGCTAGACTGTGCAGGACTTGAAGGTCAGCACAAGGACTGTGGTCAGTTTAACAAGGCCATGCGGAGCCATTGCAGGGTGTGTTTGATGAGCAAATCTGCCCGTTAGAAAGATTAATTGGACAGCCACGTGGAGGATGGATGAGAGCTGAGGGAGGGACAGACGTAGAGGTTATGCACAAATCCAGAACCTCGAGGCCCTGAACCAAGACATTAGCAGCCATAGGAGAAGAGGGTGTGGATGCAGGATGCACCATGAAGCTACAGCCTCCGGACTTCTCTCTCAGCACCCCATCTCAGTTTTAACTCACCAGTTCCTTGTGTGGTCTTTCGTCCAATGTCTATCTTCCCAGCTAATTGAATGCTGTGAGAGCAAATGTGACTCCCTTGTTTCCTGCCACAGCCCAGCATCCAGAATAGTACCTGGCAGAGGAGATGCTCAAAGAATATTGGTAGTGTGAGTGAGTGAGTGAGTGACTGAGTGAATAAAGAAATCACTGACTCCAGAGTTTTCAGCTGAGGCGATTGGAACAAGGCACACTAGAAGATGGTTGGGTGAGGGAAACAAGGGTGAGATTGATTGTTGGGCAGATTGAATCTGAGATTATCCATGTGACAATATCCAGCAGAGAGTTAAATGTGCAAGTTGGGGGGGGGTGTCTGTGAATAAAAAAGGGCATAAACCAATAGGGTTAGGTGATATTCCCAAGCGAGACAATGGGGGAAGGAGGGACAGTAGGAGGGGGAAGAGGGAGAGAGATTGCTTGGGGAACATCTACATTTTAAAGGAAAGAAGTCAGCAAAGGAGAGATAGAAGACTTGTCTGAGAAGGAATCTGAAGACCACAGGAGTACTCTCTCAAAAAAGTCAGGAAATCCAGGAAGAGGGATGGGAAGAGAATAGGGCCATCATCAACATCTGAGACTACAGAAGGATGGGAGAGCTGGAGAGCTGTGAAAACACTCCAGGGTCTGGCATCTGGGAGGCCTCTGGTGACTCTGATGAGGGCAATTTTGGTGGCAGTGCAGAGGCAGATCTCTGCCTCACAGAGCCACAGGGCTGACTCAGCGGTGAAGGAGTGGAGACACCAACTGGAGACCCCTTCATCACAAAGGTAGAGGGCAGAGATGAAGGGAAAGGTGGTTCAGAGCAGGAGCTAGAGAAGGAAGGGGATAAAGAGACCTATAGAGAAGAGACTGAGGATGTGAGGAAGAGGGAGATGAAAGGCTCAAGGAGGAGGTGTAAGGAGAGAAGATCTGCAGCACAGGCAGATAGATTAACTTCAGGAGGAAGGAGGGAGACCTCATCTTCAGAAGCTAGGAAGGAACGTTGCAGGAGCTCATACCAGCTGGCATCAACCATTTTGATAATGAAAATAGTCACCATTTACTGAGCCCCACCATGTGCCAAACACATTGCATACAGCATTTCTAACCTTTCAAAGTGGTACTGTAATCCTCACTGTATAAGGGAGAGAGGTTAAGTCAATTACTCACCATCACAGAGCTAAAAAGTAGCAGATTCAGCATCAGAGTCAGGTATGCCTGACCCAGAGCCCACAAGCCTTCCAATGGGCCACATGAACTGGGAGGAAAGTCACCTGTTGAAGGGGATAGGGTAGGATGACATTGGGCCTTGAGAAATTGGTTAGGGAAGCCTCAACAGGATGAACAAGAAATTACTGGAGAGCTGAGATAGCCATGCTGGGAGTGGGCAGCAGGACTCTGGGGTGGACCCAAGATGCTGCTAAATAATCCCAGCAGGCTTCAACAAGGGGGGCACCTAGAGCGACAAGGATGTAAGTATCCAGAAGACTCAGCCCTCAACTGAGTAGATGTACTTTGCAGATGGGGAGGTGGGGAGGGGTAGTAATCAATGTTTGCTGAATGAATGCTTAGAAGCAGAAGAGTCCGAAGAAGGAGATGGTGTGGTGATAGAGAGATGGCACGTTGATTTTGAATGGTGCCATGGGATATCCAGAGGGAGGTGTTTAAGAGGAAGGCAAGTGTATTTCTTGACTCATTTATTGCCTATTTCCCTACACACACACACGCACACACACTCACACCACACACACTCCAGAATATAATCTACATGCGGGCAGGATTTTGTCTGTCTTGTTCACTGTTATACCCCCAGGGCCTAACACATGGCCTGGTACATAGTAGGTGCTCAGTTGGAACTTGTTGGATAAATGAATATAGGGGTCTGAGAGCCCACAGAAGATGTCTAGGTATCATTAAAGCCCAAGAAAGGATGAGTCCCCTAGGGAAACATTAGAGAGGAAAAAGAGGCACAGGCTAAAGTCAGAATCCTAGGGAACACACTTACTGAAGAAAGGAAAGGAACAAGAGGAAGCAGCAAAACTGGGGTGGGGAGGGGAGAGGGAGCAGTAGGAGAGGAGAGAGTACGGTAGGAGATGGGGGAGAGGAAAGAACTGAGTCACAAAACCAAGACAGGAGAAGGATTTGAGGACACCCAAGGGGGTGACCGGTAGTTCAAATGCTGCAAAACTGCTCCAACAGAACCGCTGGGAAGAGGACCCAGAAGATCATCTGTTCCAGGAGAGAGACTTGCCAGAGCAGCAAGTTAGGGATGAGGCTGGACCTAAAGCCCAGGTGCCCTGTGGACCAATTTGAGACATCTCAAATTAGAGTCCTGCGTCCTCCAGCACCACCTGCCAATTCCTTGAGCTGCATGGAAACACAGAGGAGGAACCCAATAGTTCCTGAAATCATTTGATTATTGAATTGTTCATTTCCTGTTCTTAGAAATGTAGTCTCTTCACAATGTTTTTGAATCAAGTGAAAACATCTTAATTGACTGAGCTGAGCTGCCTTCAAACTCAGAATTCTGGGTCAGGGTCGGTTCTCTTGCATTTCCTGGAAATCCTGCTCCTTTTTTGCATGTCCTTGCAAATACGCAGTCAGCAATGGCCAACATTAACTAGCAGCTGCTACACACCAGGCACTTGACCAGTACCTCCTCTTCTTCGAACATCAGTACAAGGGTAGGCTTAATACTCCTCTCACTGGCAAGGAGGACACTGCTTTCCCAGGGGGCCACAGGCAGGGAGTATTGGAGCCTGGACTTCTAACCAGGTGTGTCTGATGCTAAAGGCCCTGGCAATGTTTTTCTACTCCATTATGATTTGCCCTCCTCCAAACAACCTGTCAGGTGGTATGGTCACATAGAAGTCCTCAAATAAACTCTCGGGCCCCATTTGATAGAAAGATCTCAATCTGCTGATATGTTTCCTCATTTTGAAAGAAATGAGGAAAATCCATCATCAACAAACAGCCAGTGACCTTGAACTCAAGCTGGTTGTGATATCCAGCCTGCTTCTCTGCCACCATTTCCCTTTTTCCTCCTAGCAAATCATAAAAACCCCAAGGCTGCGTGGGCTGACGGGCCCGGTGGGGGGGCGGGGGGGAGGCCTGGCCCCAGGTGACTACATCACACTTTGGATAGCTCATGCATGTTCCCATCCACACCCAAAAGGGGATTTGTAATGGCTTTGTCTATGAGAAAAACCACGGTGAAAGTAGGAAGGAAATCTAAGAGTTATATCAGGTTTCAAATTCTCAGGGATGTGGGGGGAACAAGATAGAAGGAGGTCAACAGTGGACGGAAGCTCCAAGCTCTCTACCCCTCCCCACTAACACTGGAATACTTCCACTTCTACGTATTTTGCATATTGAGATTCCCATTAAGATTTTCTTTGGAGAAAACCTTCTGAGGCCAAAAAAAAAAGAACAAAAATATATAATAAAAACTGAAGGTAATTGAGAGAGAAGGGGAGGACTAACAAGCTGAGCGCTTACAAGGCCCATGCTTGATACTTTAAAGGCCCCAAGCCCCAAGAAGATTATCATGTCTCCAACCACCCCCATGTGTAATTCAAAATAAAAATCAATATGAAGCTATAAAACACAAAAACTTACATGTTTGTTGCAATAAAAGTAACTTATTTCTCCATTTGTCTAATTTCAGAAGTCTGGATATGTTCATCCAAGCTGACTGTTCTTTTTTTAACTGGCCTCTGATTGGCTGGGGCCCTAAGTATGCTCATCCCATCTCGGGGTTGACCCAGTGGGGCCCAGGCTGAAATTGTCCCCAGTGTCCACAGTAGCCCTGGGGAAAGAGGCACTGCCACTCTTTCATATAGTCGAGGAAACTGGGGCTCAAGGGGGTTCAGTAACGGGCCAAATGTCACATGGCAAATAAGGAATGAGGGAGGCATGAGAACCCAGGTCTGTCTGCCTGACTCCAAATTCCAGGTTCTTTCTAGCACGCCTGAGTTCTTTCTAGCACTCTTGGCTTCAACCAAATTAAAGCAATATGGTCAAGATGAAGGTTTTACAATCGGAATCTGGAGATATGTGACCACACATATGTGCCTGGCCTACAACAAGCCCTCAGGAAATAACCCCTTTCCACCTCCTTTCCATGGGCACCAGGGTATTTGGGTCTTGGCTTTAGCTGACGGGGCCTGGGGCCTGAACCAGGGAGAGGCTGCCATCTATCTGTGCAGAGGCCCCTCACGTCTGATCCCCGACTCCATTTTGCAGGTTGACACATCTCTCTGAGCCAGGCCTTGCCAGGAGCCCTGCATGCAAACTCAGCTACGGGCTAGGGCACGCTAACTGGAGCTGGCATCATGGACTTCGTCATGAAGCAGGCCCTTGGAGGTGAGGCCCGAGCCCAGCACCCCTCACTCCCCAACCTGGGTCCCAACCCAGATGGGAGGGGTCCGCAGAGCACCAGGCCCCTGTATCCCTAGCCCTGCCCCCCCTGACCCCCCTCCCTCCCCAACCCATCCACTATAGGGGCCACCAAGGATATGGGGAAGATGCTGGGGGGAGAGGAGGAGAAGGACCCAGATGCGCAGAAGAAGGAGGAGGAGCGACAGGAGGCTCTGCGGCAGCAGGAGGAGGAGCGTAAGGCCAAGCATGCGCGCATGGAGGCTGAGCGCGAGAAGGTCCGGCAGCAGATCCGAGACAAGGTCAGCACCTCCCAACTAACCAGAGAGTAGAAGGCACCGAGGTCAAGCCGGCACCCCCCAAAACCCGGCCTCGGGCTCCCCTGAATCCCTCCTCTCGCTTTAGACCTAGCTCTCTCTGAGCGCCACTCTCCTCATAGGGTAAAGCGAGTGTCACAGGAACAGCGCCCTCAAAAGAGCGTTATGGAGATTAAATAAGATAATGCACATGAGAAGTGCTCCCCAAGGTTTGCTGCTATGGTCCACAATCTTGTACCCAAGACAGTGGAGACCAAATGTTTGCAATCCAGAATTTGGGAATTTTCGGAAAGTACCGTAGTGCCCTGAGCACCTGTTACGGTTACATGTCACTCTCAGTGGGTCTGAAGCTGCCACCCTAGGCCAAACAGTTCAGTACATGTCTAGTCTCACCACTGCAAAAAATCAAGGCTGTAAGTAGCCTCCCATTAACTCAAATCAAGTTTTGTCATCCAAACATAGGGGAGGACTTTCAGATGTCAAATCTTGGGGGATTTCAGAAGAGCAGAGAAGTTATTACAGGCAGGTAATTTTAAAAGAAACCCCATGCACGGACTCTTATGGGGCACCCATTAAGGACAGGCACAATCCCATAAGGAAGGCATCCTTATCCCTATTTTATAGATGAGAGGACTGAGGCTTGGGGAGTTTCCATGAGCGCCCCAGCTGAGCCTGCATGACCTTGAGACCTACCCAGCTCTCTCCTTGCCCCATTCGTGCTCATTTCTGCTCTCCTCCTCCCCAGTACGGGCTGAAGAAGAAGGAAGAGAAGGAGGCAGAGGAGAAGGCAGCCCTGGAGCAGCCCTGCGAAGGGAGCCTGACCCGGCCCAAGAAGGCCATCCCTGCAGGCTGCGGAGACGAGGAGGAGGAAGAGGAGGAGAGCATCCTGGACACGGTGCTCAAATACCTCCCGGGGCCACTGCAGGACATGTTCAAGAAGTAACCGGCCCTCCTGCCCTATTCCCACTCCACTTGTTCCTTTTTTCTTTTCTTCTTTTTTTTTTTTTTTTTGGTTCTTTTCCTTTTATTCCGTTAAGTCTCAGTTCTGAAGGGGAAAACCTCAGTTGACCTCTACCCCCCTTCCCTGGCCAGGGACTCCTCCCTCTCAGCACTCCCTCACACCCCCTTCATCCCAGGGCATCCAGCCCCGCCCCTCACTTCAAGTTGCTTGAAAAAGGGAAGGCAGCTTCCCCCAAGAAGGGGGCATTGAACCCAGGCCCCCTCCAGAAGCCTAAGTTCTATGCTAGTGTGGTAACCCCCATATATTCCTTCATGCACCCCACTGCCAGGAGGACCATTGTCCCCAGCCAGCCAAAGTAATGACACATTCCAGCCCTGCCCAGCATGCCGACCTTTGGCCTCTGACCCACAGTGGGCCTCCAGGTCAGGGCAGGGGCGTTAAGTGGCCTGGCTCTGAGGAAGGGAGTCAGGGTAAGCCTGCCCTGTGAGGGCCCCGTCCGAGAGGCCCCCGCCATATTCTGGCCAGGCCTAGGTCTGGGCAGGAGGCTGGGGCTCTCCTTCTTCCCTCCCCCTGAGATGGCACCCAGCCCAGGAGCACTCCTCTCCCAACCCCCACCTGAAGAGGCATAGGCCCTGCCAAGCCAGTCCCTCCAAATGGATCCACTTTGGACTTTAACTCATTGTGGAGAGGCCCCAGGGTAGAGCAGCCCCTTGTTTCCCCCTCCTCCACTTGGGTCCTGGGGCCCCACTGCCAGGCTGGGCCCAGTTTGCCCAGCCAAGGGGTGCCCAGGCCCCCCCAGAAAACACTTGGAGCCATTGGGCAGCGATGGCCCATGCCATGGGACCACCATTGGTACAGCCAAGCTGCCCCCATTCTATCCACCCCTTTCCCACCCCATCATGTCCATGTGCTTCCAGGGCCCCATGGTCCCCAGGAGGACCCTTCCTGGCCAAAGCCCCAAGGCTTTGGGGAGAAGCCAGTTCCCACTGGACAGAAGGCATCTGTCCATTCATCTCATTGGCCAAGAACAAACTCTCCTCTGGGATGTGTGAAAATGACATTTGCTCCCCCCGACCCCAAACTGTCAAGGCCTCCTGCTCAGTCAGTTGTGTAGAACTGGGGAGCAAATGAGAGAGGAAAGTGTGTGTGCATGCATGCATGAGTGTGTGTGGTAGGGACTGCATGGGCAATTGTGTGTCCAAAGACTCTACCTATCAGTGTGTCGTTAGAGTGTAAGTATGTCTTGAGATTGTGTGTGTATGTTAATCACACCCCTGTGTTAGATAGAGATCGGGTATGGTAGGCAGCCTTGTGTATGTGTGCTTGTTTGAGGGGGTGTGTATGAATTGAGATTGTGTCGTATCTGTTTTCTAGCCATCTTGTATGTGTGGTAGAGTTTGCACATGCAGCTTGTGTCTGCATGTGTTTTCAAAATGGCATGTGTGTCTGGAGAGAAGGCTATGTGTTAGATGTGGTGGAAGTGTGTGTGTGAGAGAGTGTCAGAGGTGCTGAGACTGTTGTGTGCATGTGCGTGGCTCTGAATAGGCAGCTGTGTGCAGGATGTGTGCTTCGGGAGAACAAACATAGGTGAGATGCCCCCCTCGGCCCCAAAACCATTGGTCCCAGGTGGCCACATCCAACAGGAGACCTTGTCCTTGGCCTAGAGTCCTCCCGCCCTTGGGGGGTTCCTGCCTGAGGTCCTCAGAAGCCCACTGTGACTGACCCTGGCAGTGCCCCAAGAAGCCATGCTGGGCCCCCACCAGGGCCTACCCCAAAAGCAGGGCCCAGGGAGGGGGCGACTTGCCTGCCCCCGAAGCTCCTGCCCCATTGACCCCAGTTTGCATTCTGCAGGTTTTCCATTTTAGTGGATTTATGCTTTTATTTCAGAGAGAGACATGTGTCTTCTCTGTCCGTTTCCAATAGTTAAAGCCATATCAGTTAGACTGCAATACTTTAAAGACGAGACAAAACAATCCATATGTTTAGGGAAGCAGAAAAATCCCCTGGTCTGTCCCTTCTCTAGGGAGCAGGGCTTCAGCAGCTCCAGCTCCCTGGATTTGCCCTTCTCCCCCGCCCCCGCCCCCTCCCCTATGCCCCTGTGTCCTGCCCCCTACCCAGGGGGCCTGTGTCTGTGCCTGTGTCTGTGATGGGGAGCCACCTCGCACCCCTATTGTCTGCTTGTCTGTGTCTCTTTTCCTGGGCAGGATGGTCATTCTCTAGAGCCCTGGGGTCCTGGGATAGAGACAGGCAGGGCACAGTCCAGGGGCCCCAGGCCTCCCCAGACCCTGTGTGTGAGCACCACCCAGACACAGATGTGGATCCCAAGTGTTCAAAAAGGTCTCTCCCTTGACAGGGGCCCACAGATCTCAAAGGTAGTGCCAGGGCACAGAGAGTGCCAGATGGGCAGGAGAGACCGAGGCTCAGGAAGCTTCAGATGAGCAGAGGAACCCAGCCATGCAAGATATCCTGGGGCCCTCAGAGGATGTCCCTGGTGGTCTCCACAGTCCCTCTGCACCCCCAGAGCAGGCTCAGGGTTTTCCCCATTTAAGAGTACCCTCCAGGCTGGCTGGATTAGTCTGGTGCATGGCCTAGACTCCTCCAGACTCCTCAGGCCTACTCCCGAGAAGCAGGACTAGAGGTCTTCCTGGAGGTGGGAGCAAGGGAGAATTTCAGCATGGGGCATACCTGCCTCCAACCACTGCCAGGTGATCACTGTCATGTCCAGGGGGACATGATGACTGTCATTCCTGATACAGACCTGACTGTGGAAAGCAGCTAACCTGTGACCCAGGGAAGATGCTGTGTGCAACACACTCATGTGGAGGGAGAGGGGCAACAAAATATGTGTGTGGTGTGCTCTAGCAGGGAAGGGATGTTCACATGAGGTACCTGGGGTAGGAGGTGTGTGTGGCCCACTGGATGGGAGGGGGATGGGTGTGCCACACATAAATGGGGCAGTGTGCGTGTGATACACTTAGGAGGCTGGGACGGGGAGGGAGCAGTTCCAGAATTCAGTGCACACTTACAACGTATCAGGGAGACACTCTCCAGCTAGGGAAATAAGAAGGAGCAATCATTTGTACATGGTGAGAACAATGAGATGCAAGGGAGTGGGCACCACCTGATGTGGGCATGCGTGGTTGCCAGGGAAGGCCACGGCCAGACTTGCATGCCTGGGAGCTTCTCTGGATCACCCATGCTGGGTGCTGGCAGTGAGCCAGGACTTGCGCACATGGACAGCCTCAGCTCCTGGAAGGTGTCCTTACTGGCAAAACTGTGTGGGGTCTCCTCCAAAGGCAAGCAGGAAGTCAAGAGACCCTCTTAAGTAGGGGTGTGTGTGTGTATGTGAGAGAGGGACAGAGAGGGAGAGAGATTGGGAGGGAAGTAGCAGGGAGAGAGAGAGAACAGAGGTATTTCAGCAGCCCAGGCTCCTCTCAGGTGGGACAGCTGGTGGGCAAAGAAGCTGCCCTACAGGATCTGGCTAGAGCAGAATGGGCAGAACCCCAGCCATGAGAGCCCCCAGCACCTGGCTGGCAGAGCTGCTCCATCCATCCTAGGGTCCTGCAGGCCCTTGACTGGACAGGCAGCTAGGGATCAGATGGCTCAGGTGACATATGTCTCCCAGGCCTGAGGACATGCCTCCCCCCACATATCCCCTACTCCCCTCCCTGCTCCTGCTGCCCCCCTTCTTCCCTGGGGAGAGATTGGGAGGTGCTTGTGCTGGCCCTGGGGTGGGGGTCCTAGTGAGACCCAGGTGAGGACGACCATCCTGCTCTTGCGGGGGAATCCCTTTCCCACGTCTGTGCTGTGTCCTTGTTGCTCTGCTTTCTTTAAATGTGTCAGTGCCTGGGGGGAGGGGGGGCACCCCCTCATGCCCCCTGAACCTGACCAAAAGCCATGGCTGTCGCTCCCCCCTTTGTATGACGCAGATGCTAAGATGTACCAAACCAACCATGACAACAAAGAAAAGACCTTGTACAGCAACTCTTGGTCTGTCTGTCCTCTTCTGTCTGTTGGCATCACCAGGGCGACATGGGGTACCAGCTGAGGTGAGAGGGAACTGAGCTGCAGTGCTCAAGAGGCCCCAGAAAATCTTCCATTTTACCCTCACTGCTGGCCGGGACACTGGAAATGACCCCAGAAATCAACTGAGGCTGGAGTCAGGGCTGGCCCCAGAGATTCAGCGTCACTCCCCTCCTGCCCTTCAAAGTCAGCTGTGCAACGAACCCCTGGAGCTGGTGTCCCAGCCTGGTCGCAGTACCCCACACCCCTGGCCATCCTTCTCCGAAAGCTCCTCGGGATGTGGCATGCCAACGTGGAGCCAACTCCCATGGGTGGGCCAAGGTCTGCCACTGGCCATCCCACCAACACTGAGGGAGTTCCTAATATCTGCCAAGCCATGTGTGGGACAGGATGCCACTCAGCATTGCTCCTGGACAGAGACACTTCCCAGGCCTTGTTGAGTCAAGACAAAACCAGAACCCCCCTTTCACCCTTGGCTGCCTCCACCATTGTCCTGCCTTAAGCTGGGCCTCATTTTTCCTCTACTTGGCTAGGCAACTCCCATTCCTCACACACTGGTCTCCCAGCTTCCACATCTTCCCTCTCTCCATCCTCTCCCCACCACCCCACCCCACCCAGAAGACTCATCAAAACACAAACTTAACCATGTCACTCCCTTGCCCAACACTCTTCAATGGTCTGTAGGAAAGTACCTGCCTATAGGATAACATCAAAATCATCAAAATGTATGATATGACCCTGTATGATATGACCCCCAACCTGCCAGGTCAGATCCACACCCAACTCTGAGCCAAGCCCCCCCCCACACACACATACCATGCTGTGTCGTGTTTATAGATTCTTCCCCTCTGCCTGAAATGAATTGTAACCTCCCCCTCCCTGGTATACTTCTTGAACTTCTCAAGATCCAGCTAAGATGTCACCTCCTGTGTGAAGCCCACCCTGACACAGCCCCCACCCCCCTGCCCATAGCAGAGTTTGTTGCTGTGCTCACAACACAGAGCATCACAGCTGCGTGCTCAGACAGCACTGGGTTTGCTGGTGGGTTCTATCACCCAGCAGAGTGATCTTGAACAAGCCACTTAACCCCTCTGAGTGTTTGCTTGCAAGTAAAATGGGATAATAATTGTTCTGACCTCCACAGTTGTGAGGAGTAAAT